TTTTCTTCCTGGATTGGTGGTCCCATTACTGACCTTAACCAATCAAGAAAGTATATCAGTCAGGAATTATGATATCATTTTATATGGCTATTTAAATTAAGTGACAATATCATATTTTCCAGAATTTTGAATTTAGGGAGTTTATATTTTTTAGCTGCTTTGGAGGGATTTTATTCATAGTGATAATTATTAGCTGGATAGTGCCCTTATGAGACTGGTTATTCTGAAAAATGTTTCACAGTGAATTGGAAATTGAAGCTGAGCTTCTAGTTTGATTGGACATCACCTTCTATATGCTAAGTGTGGCATTACAGTATTGTATAGCAGAATTAAATGTGCCAGATACTTAGATCCCTTTTCTGGCAGAAGAAACTATGTACTAATATAAGAGAATATTTGTAGCTCAGGGTTGAACTGTGGGATGTTGGTACTCTGAGCTTGGTGGTTTTCTTGCACACCTTTTATTAGTCAACTAGGTAACAACATCAGTGCTAGAAGGAAGTGGGTTTGCTTTCTATATACAAGCGGCTTGACCTGTCAGTATTGATGGGAATGTTCTTAGTAGTTCCTTGATTAGACTGTTCTGTACTGTTTGATTGTTTGTGCTATCATGCAGATGATGTGAAATTGTTTCTCAGAACTGATAGGGAGATTCCAGGAGTTAAAGGGTTGAGATCTTAAAGGATCGAGAAGCACTGCTCTAGAACATGTGAGTGATTTCTTACCTCAGCAAGAGGACATTTAATTCCCATTTATAATGATACCTTTACCTGCTTTGCACTGTAAAAGCAAGTAATATATGATGTGGATGGTCAAGATGAAAGAAGGACACTTCTTCCTGAAAGAAGGGGCAGGAAATAACAAAGTAGTAAGAGCAGTAGGGTCAGGGCTGTTAAATGAATGTTCCATCAAAGAATGATTCTAGAGTTATGGGACTTCATTAAAGTCAGCAATGAAGATAATCTTAAATGAACCTAAATGTGATAAACTGCTGAAGGAAGAGCTTAGCAGTTGTACAATTCCAAGCTGAAGTGCAAATAAAATAATGGAAGCAGATGGATTGAAAATAAGATTACATTTTGTAATTAAAACCAGATCACAACCACATGTGTTGGTTTATGTTCTACCTCTTCCATGTCTGACCATGACTTTAGTCATTAACCAAAACTTGTGGGGATAAATCGGTAATCCAATTCTTCTGATATAGGGACAGCTCACGTGTTTCTCCTTTTGAATATTATTTATGTCCATAAATATAGAAAGGGTGGATTATTCTTAAATGTCCTTACCTGCACTTTAATTGTAATAAGAGGCTTCAGTGAAAATCGACTATCTTAGCTCTAACTAAATATGCACATAATCAAAAGGTTTTGCAATGTATTAGTGCACAGAAAACACTCTGTTTAGAATATAATTCATATACAGCAACATACAGTGCAGCCGTATGGACAGCTATTCAGTAATAAGTCTCTTTGAGTTTACTGGAACTTATGCCCAAGTAAGCATGAAGAGAGTCTAGCCTTAAATTCCTAATAGTTTCAGACAACAATATTTCTGATCCATTATGAGAGCAAAATTAGTAAGATCTAATACTACCATATATATATATATATTTAAAAATCATAATTGTTTTTCAAATTACTCTTCTTTTTCCTCTCCTCCCCCGCCTCTTGTCTGGAGTCAGATGGCCTCTTATAATTGCAGTATCAAATCTTTGCCTCAATTTTCAACTGCAGGTGATTTCAAATGATTAAAGATGCACAACAGGGAATAAACAAAAATGCTTACATGCAATTATTTTTAATTAGTATTTGGCTATAAAGTGTATGCCTTCATAAAAAAGTCTGTTATTCACATAAACATCTGTTACCATACACACAAGGAAACACACTGTAAGTCTGTCATCACATCACCAAAACAGAAAATACTAAGGAAGGCCAGACAGGAAAGCCAACACTTGGGGTTTGAAACAAAAGATATAAGCATAACGGTCAAAACAGACACTGTACCACACCTTTCAATTAAGGCAGTTGACAATCAAAGGAAGAACTGTTGCCATTGGAATTATGCATGAAAAAAAAAGTTAAAATAAATGGAATTATTTTGGGGGGAAACAATGGAATTCCATAGCGTATAGTGATTTCTAACCCTTTTACTAATTTTGTACTTCTACATAATCAAAAGGTTTCCTGTTTGTGTATATTCATCCATCTCTGTTTTTTTTTAAGAAGAAAAAAGCCCTAGTTACTGCACATTAAAAAGAAATACCTTACACTGTGACAAACATATAAAACCTGATGACTGTGTTTGAACCATATCCAGAAATAGGCTGGCTGGGCAGCTGGAAGAAAAGCTATTTCAAAAGATGAGTCATGCTTGGAGCTACAGTGGAAGTTTCTGTGGGAACTAACAGCTGAATGTGATGTTCAGTAGGAAGCACAATTCTGGAAAATGTGGTTTTTGGTGGGTAGATCGACAGTGAGATATGATTTGCAGAAAGGTAGGAGGAGACTTGCTGAATCTTTCCAGTCCATTTTAGTTTCTTGTATGGCATCTTTAGACTTTAGACCTTATATTGCTTTAGATTTTACAGCTGGATTTACTCTTCTTGCTGCACTGAAATATGGCATTGGCTTTATTTTTGTATGGTATAAAGTATTATGGTTTATGGTTGAGTGCATGTGCAAACTCCCAAGGTTCATCATTATCTGAGATTACCTTGAGCTAAAATATTACTATAAAAACAAGTAAATGTAATTAGTTTTAAAAATGAAGGTTGTTATGGCCAGCCTTGGAGACATTTATCTCTTGTACAAGTTATACGAAATATGGACATAATTGCTTATTTCTGCCATGCCTCACTTGCAAATACTAACCCCAAAATCATTGGTGGGCGATCCTGTTGTTCATAAATAATTTCAGAAATAATGCAAAGCTGGGGTAAAAAGAGTTTCTACATCCATATGATTTAGACCAGGGGTAGGCAACCTTGGCTCTTTTATGACTCGTGGACTTCAACTCCCAGAATTCCTGAGCCAGCCATGCTGAGGGGAAAGGGAGAGGTTTCCAAGCTGAGCCATGCTGGTTGAGGAATTCTGGGAGTTGAAGTCCACGAGTCATAAAAGAGCCAAGGTTGCCTACCCCTGATTTAGACTGATGTAGAGATCAATCTAAATTTGCCTGCCAGTTTTCATGTATTTACTTATTTTTATTTTTCTCTTTCCTTCTCTTTACTGCTGTAAAAAAACTATATATACATATACTGTATTCAAAAACTAAAACACAGATCACTGAGACTAAAGAATTTATTTAAAAACTTAGCTTTTGTCAGCATATGCTGACATTGTCAGAGTTCTAGCCAGGATTGAGAATCACGTTCTCCTGGGGGAGATGGGAACTAAATAGACTGGTAATACCCTCATTAGCCAAACACTTAATGTTACAGAGACTATAAGAACGTGATTCTCAATCCTGGCTAGAACTCTGACGATGTCAGCAGATGCTGATGAAAGCTAAGTTTTTAAATAAATTCTTTGGTCTTGGTGATCTGTATTTTAGTTTTTGAATATGAATATACCCGAGACTCTTATCTTCAAAACTATTTTAGACATATACTGTACACACACACACACACACACACACACACACACACACACACACACACACAGTCTAGATACTCTATATACCAACACAACTTGAACAAGAGTTTTGCACCCAGGAGCATCCAGGGATTGTCAAAAAAGTTAAAATGTCACTATGACTGCATAATAGCTCTCCGTCACAACCCACATGGAAGAGAAGTGTAACTTTGATCATGTGATTATGGCTGCCATTGTGACTTTTTTGACACTTCCACTTCCACAGAGTCCCTTGGCCACTTGTGACTATTCTACCATGTGTGTTTCTTTAAAAATATAACTATTACATTGCTTTTTTGTATGTTGCATTTCCAAATACATGCTTTTGAGATGACCTTTCGCAAAGAAAAGGAGGAGTACTAGGAGATACCACATAACAGCTTCTATTTTTATTCTGTGGATATCTGTGACCATTTTGATTTTATATCCCAAATATTGTTTCTATTGTGTCTCAGACACCATCCGTGTTCTCTTTTGCTGATTTTACCAGGGAGGGTATCAAAAGCAGAGTGGATAGAAAATTATACAGCCATATTGTCTGTTCAATTCCAAAACTATATTGGTTATATGGTGAACTGTTCTTTCATACTAGATACAGTTTGGAGCTGCTTATTATCCCTAATGTTTAAACATTTCCCATGGATGACACTGGAAAATTTCTCCTGTAGCTATCACAGATGTCAATACAAACTTTCTGTCACCCTCCTTCCTTTTGTCTACTGGGAATTTGCAATGTCTCCTATAATACCACATACCATAGAAACGGTCAAGATATCATTTTATTTTTTATTAAAAAGCAGTAACTTTTATCAATCATATAACATTTCATAAAAAGAAGAGGAAAGCCCTGATGTACCACCAGTTGACAACACTGTACATTTAAAAAGTGCAAAGGGTCAGAAACTTCACTTTATACCCCAGCTCAAATCTTTGCAGGTTATTTTTATCCCACTGTAACAGGGGTGTCAAACTCAATTTCATTGAGGGCCGCATCAGCATTGCGGTTGCCCTTGGGGGGCTGGGTGGGTGTGGCCAGGGTGGATGCGGCCTACTGGGTGGGCATGGATGGATTGGGGGTGGCCTACTGGGTGGGCGTGACCAGCTCTATATCATTCGCATCAAGGGTGCCTGTGGGGCCCTGGGCAGGAGTGGGACAGATCTGAGAGTCTATGGCAGAAGGGGGTGGCACCAGGGCAAGTGCCAAGGCATGGTCCACTGGAGGAGCCTCACTGTTCCTCTCAGGCCATGCGGGGGGGGGGGAGCTGGATGGTGGCGCAGGCTGCCAAGAGCCTTGGACAACAGAGGTCAAATGCCCAGCCTGGCACTCGAGCACCCACAGCACCAAGCCCAGCCCCACTTCCCCAAAGGTGTACCCAACTGCACTTACCTCCTCCTCAAGGCTGCTGCTGCTGTGCTTGCTCTTCTTATCCAGGCTGCTCATGATGGGTATGAGGGAAAAGTCAGAGGGAGGCCCATTTCCTCTCCATGGGAGAAAACCCGGCTTTGTATCCAAAGCTTCCTTAGCAATAGGATGGGAGACCCCCAGGATAGGCCAGGAGGAGGGGGCAAGGGGATGGTGAAAGGGCAGCAGGGCAGAACTAAGGCAGGACTTCCCTCAGACCCTCCCTCTCCTTCTTTCCTTCCTTCCTTCCTTCCTAAATACAGAGTGGTGGGAAAATATTTGAGATGAGGGAGGGAGAAAAACAGGCAAGAAAGCTGGGGAGGTGTCACCCTTTGTGAAGAATGAAGAAATGCACCATCGCCTGGAAGTGGCCAGCACATGGCCCTCACCTACTTCACATATCTGGCTTGGTGGGCTCTGGGGGAAGGGATACCATGAGCAGCGTGAGAGTCAACGTTACCTGCGCAATGCCGCCCAGCCCCCAGCCTGCCTGGTTTCAGCAGGCAGCGGGGCGCTTTCCTCATAGCGCCAAGAGTCTGAACCAGGCGGCACAAATCCAAAAAGAAGCACGATGCTGCCCAGCCCCCAGCCTGCCTGGTTTTGAAGGCAGCGGGGCGCTCTCCTCACAGTGCTGAGAGGTTGAGCTGGGCGGTGCGAAGCTCGTCAGCTTTGCACCTTTCTGCCTGCTGAAACCGGGCAGGCTGGGGACTAGGCAGCATTGTACTTCTTATCAGATTCATGCCACCTGACTCAGCTCTTGGCGGTGTGAGGAAAGTGCCCTGCTGCCTGCTGAAACCTCTCCCCCAGAGCCCATTAAGCTGGATATGTGAATTAGGCAAGGACCATTTGCTGTCCACTTCCAGGCGATGGTGCATTTTTTCATTCCTCATAAAGGGTGATGCCTCCCCAGCATGCACCCAGGGGGTAGGGCCGACGTGGCAGGGCTGGTTCCTCACTGTTTCCAGACGGCCTTGTGGAGCTAAGACTCAATGTGTTTCAGCATAGATGGCCACCACAAAATTGTACATTGGCTCCTGGACGGCCTGGGCCAGGGCCAAGGCAGCAGTGGCCATTCCTTCACTGTTTCCAGGATGGCTTCACGGGCCACATGAAACCACTTCGCAGTCCACATCCAACCCCCAGGCCTTGTGTTTGACATGTCTGCTCTGTAAGATTAACAATCAAAATTAGCCCCAATTTTGAGGTCTGCAACTCTCAGATGTAGTTTCTGAAAATACAAGTTGTGAATTCATCCAACATATAGCAGTTTCTTTGTTTACTGTTCCTCCTGAAAGCTGGAGACTTTTCATCTCTACAAGCTTACTTTGTTTGTAAGGTGTTTTTTTTTTTAACCCCACTCATCATCTTATCTGAACAAGTGAAATTCTGAAAGGCCCCCAAATTGCAGAGTGATAAGAATGGCCCTTTGCTTATTTATATCATTGATTCCAAAAGATAGTCAAGATCTTACTTTGCCTAAAAATTATAGGCCTATATCTCTTTTAAATGTGGATTATAAAATTTTTGCAAAAATTTTAGCTAACAGGCTTATGGGGATCTTGCAGCAGTTTATACATAGGGATCAATCGGGTTTTATAACTGGAAGGTATATGAAGAATAACGTTAGACAAATTATTAATTTATTAGAGTATTTAGAAAAGAATAACCAAGTCTCTGCAGGCCTGATATTTTTGGATGCTGAAAAAGCCTTTGACCAAGTGAATTGGCAGTTTATGCTGTGTTTAATCAAGGAGATGAATTTTGGACAAAATATATTACAAGTATTATCCAATATATATCAAAAACAGACTGCTCAAATTATTGTAAATGGGGGTTTGTCAGAGGCTTTTGTAATAGAAAAAGGAACAAGACAGGGATGCCCGTTGTCTCCGTTATTGTTTGTTTTAACACTGGAAATTTTGTTGATTAAAATTCGGGAGTCTCAAGAAATAAAAGGAATAGAAATTAATAAAAAAGAATATAAATTAAGAGCCTTTGCAGATGACTTGGTTGTTACTTTGTCTCAACCTGTTTCTTCGGTGGTGAAATTATTACAATTGATTCAACAATATGGACGTGTTTCTGGCTTTAAAATTAATAATAATAAGACCATAAGCTAAAAAAATAAGAAAATCCCTTGAAATTGTTGATAAGGTAAAATATTTGGGGGTTACATTATCTGCTTCTAATGTAAAATTGTATAAAAATAATTATGAAAAGCTGTGGATGGAGGTACAGAAGGATTTAAAAAACTGGAATAATTTACAGTTATCCCTTATGGGCAGAATTGCAGTTATTAAAATGAATGTCCTGCCAAAGTTTATTTTTTTGTTTCAAATGTTACCTATTTTAAAAAACGAACGTAATTTAGATGAATGGCAAAAAGGTATTAATAAATTTGTTTGGGCAGGGAAAAAACCAAGGGTGAAACTTAAAATACTGCAAGATTTTCGTGAGAGA